AAGCTCTGGTTCAAGAGCACAGTTCTGAGAGAATTCTGAAGGGAGAGGTCCTCAGCAGCTCAGGTCCACTCTTGACTTTAAAATGGATGCTAAGAGTTAGGCTGATTTTTATTTGGGCATAACTGTATATAATGTGGCTTTGAACAGTAAATGTCACATAGCACCTTCCATCTAAACTACTCAGGCTAGACAGCATGATTTAGGAAGACCTAAGCTGAACCAAAGATGGCCAAATATGGCTGCAGGAGGACTGATGTGTGGACTCAGGACCAGACAGGCCTAATTCATACTGTGGCTTTGTCATGTGAACTCCAGGGAACACTGGGCAGCTTCCTCTCAACCTCCAGCCTCCTAGCATGGATATAACTGTGCTTTCTATATACTCCCATGAGAACTAAGTAATCTGTGCTTGCAGAAACTCTATTCCTCGTCTACCAGGTACAAATGTTTATTTAGCAGTACTATATGATGGCCTGTTTCTCTCAGAACTATGGTTTACTCGTAAATCACATTGCCGCTGGGGTATCAAGTTATATAAGAAATTAAGGTTGAGGTTGGGTGTGGTGGTACATGACTTTATCCCAGCACTTGGGAAGCAGAGGCAGGAGGATCTCTGTAAGTTTGAGGACAGTCTGATCTACACAGTGAGTTCCAGGCTAGCCAGGGCTATGTAGACCCTATCTCAAAAAAAAAAAAAAGAAAAAGAAAAAGAAATAGAAGTTGTGTGCATGGTAATGGTAACAAAGCAACATTATTTGCTCACTGAGGGTGTGGAAGCCCCATCGTTTCAATCCTGAGATAAGGTTAACTTTGGGTGTGACAATATTTTAAACTCTCAGGGCTGAGGGAGAGGGAGTCTACACACTTTAACAACTCTTTCTTTTATTTTAAACAGAGGTTGGAACATCTCATCTTAACCATTGTTAGACCGTCTAGAACCATCCTCCCCTAATTATTTATTCATTCATTCATTGTGTCTGGGGGAGGGGTATGTGTACATGGTATGTGAACACCTAGTGCATGAACAGTGCCCAAGGACTCTATCATTCTCCATCTTATTTCCGGGGACAGGGTCTCTCACTGGACCTGGAGCAAGGACTCTATCATTCTCCACCTTATTTCCGGGGACAGGGTCTCTCACTGGACCTGGAGCAAGGACTCTATCATTCTCCACCTTATTTCCGGGGACAGGGTCTCTCACTGGACCTGGAGCAAGGACTCTATCATTCTCCACCTTATTTCCGGGGACAGGGTCTCTCACTGGACCTGGAGCAAGGACTCTATCATTCTCCACCTTATTTCTGGGGACAGGGTCTCTCACTGGACCTGGATCAAGGCTGGCAGCCAGCAGGCCACAGGGCTCTTCCACCTCCACAGCACTGGGGTTACAGGCATACACAGCCACCCCTGGCTTTTTACACGAGTGCAAAGGCTTCAAGCTCAAGTCCTCAAGCTTGAGCGCAAAGTCTTCTTACACACTAAACCATGTCACTAGCCCTTGATCACTTATTTTGAACTTGACATTGCATGCTGGAACATCACTGGGATCCAACCTCCTTCCCTCCCCCAGCCACTCCCCTAACTAACAAAACACACACAAAAATCTTAAACATTTTTCAGGTTTTCTAAATTTCCAATGCAATCAACAAACATTGGCTTGGAATTCACCCCTGTATCAGGGTGAGTAGTTTTTTATCCTGCTTTAAATTCATGCCCTGGGACTTAAAATTTTACCTTACTCCATTACTTCAACAAATAATATTATTTATTTTTCTTGCAAATGGACCATATAACAGGATAAAACTAGTGTCTGTCTTTCTCGAGGCGTGTGTATGGAAGTTTTTGTTGCTGTTGTTGTTAATCCGGCCAAACCCCAAACCTCTGAAAGCCAAGTATCTAATGGGATTATTGATGTCATCCTGGCATTAAAAAAAAAAAAAATCCTTTGCCCTCTCACCAAGAAAACATCAAGAGATCTGGATTTTAGAACCAATTTGGCTGTAATCTATGTGAAATAACTTTGGGATCTGCCTGTCTGCTCTTGGTCTGTGGTCTGTGACCTGGGGGTGGGAGTTGAGGAACTGAGAAAGGGTAGGGACTGACAGGAAGCGCCTCCAAACCTCCAAATCCCACGAGTCCAGATCAAATCATGGGTAACCCCTAGCAAGATGTCTGTTCGGAAAAACATCTTAATAGCAATGCCAAACACCGTCCCCGGAGGTTTTCTCTAATACCCTCCACTGGCCACTTGTCACTAGGAGGTATCTGTCTAGATTTTTTCACGAATACCTGTGCTGTGGTAACACCCTCACCTGCCGGGACCTCGGGCCTTTGCGATACAGGCAAACCCTGGCGGTATGCGGTGAAGGGCTCAAACCTCAGGCAAAGGCAGTTGCCAGAACTCAGCCTGGTGAGCCACCCCAGAGCCATAGCCTAGGCTTTTGAGGCTCTCTAGTGCTGAGAACTCTTACTTCCTGCCCCACATCCCACAGTGGGGCTGCCCAGGGCCCAGGGAGTGACTAAGAAAGGCCCAGTCATCGTGGGCACCGTGTCTGTCAGAATTTCCCCACTTCTCTGAAAGATGAGCCGTGGGCCTCTCCTCAGAGCTCTGGTCTCAGGGATATAGCTGACACCTCAGGGACAGGAGTGCCTTGGAAACACAGCAGAAGTCTGGCTATAGCTCCCATTTGGCAGCCTGGGAAGCTGAGGTCTTGGGAATACAACCCCTGCAGCAGAGCAGACTCAGACCTCAGCTCTGAAGCCAGGCAAAGGTCTCCTCGGCATGAACCTTCCATCAGCATCTAAAGCTAGGCACAGAAGAGGGACTCAAGAGGGACTTTAAGGAGTCCAGCCCCATCATCTTAGGTCCCATTGTCCAAGACTGGGGTCTGAGTCCTCATTCCTGTGTCAGTGAGGGCCCCAGTGTTCAGTGTGTGGCCTCTGACTGTGGGGAAGGTGGACGGTGGCCTTTCTGGTTCATGGTTCTAGGATTCTGGTGTGCCTCCCACACTTCTCCTTATGCTGTGAACCGTTTCTCTCTGTCAAGCCCCCTCAACCTTATAGTTCTGTGGTTCAGGGAGACCATTTCTGGGGTCTTTGAAGGAAAAGCTAAGAGCACACATTGTGCAAGCTCTGGGCTTGAGCTTTGTGTCTGAGCCCGGGCTCCAGTCTGGGTGTAGTCTACTCAAAACAGGAAAGAAACTTTCATTCCCCCCCCCTCCCAGGGAAAGGCATCCAGAGCTGATGTCAGCCCCTGGCTGGGCAGTTAGTAACCTATAAGGCCAAGTGGATGGGTGCTCTTCCCCAGCCTATCCCTGGGGAGCAGAGCTTCTCCTGATCCAGCTCTGGCTCTCACCTTCCTACACTGTGTCCAGCTTCAGAGCCCAACCAGCTCCACCCACAGAAGCCAGGTAGAGAGCAACCATGGTCACTCGCTGGGCTGTGACCTCCCATGAAGGCTCTCAAATCAGCTAAGAGGACAGTTGCCAGACAGTTCCTGACAAGACCCCTCCGGTACATATGCAGCGATCCTGATCTCAAAGGTCATCTTTCCGCACAGTTCCTCCTTTCCTGCCCAACCCCGTGTCAGCTGTTTATTTCTCCGTGCTAAATGCCACAGCTGATCCTTCTCAGCTACCTTGGTAGCATTTGGTTAGAAACACTCAACACCAAGGGCAGGAGAAGGCAGTCCTCCAAAGACCATGTTTAGGACCCCGCTCTTTGGAAAAGGTTTCCAGTCATGGCCCAGACTGTACAGGCTCATTCATTGGTTTCTCCACCCAGACCAGGTCTCTCAAGTGAAGCTCAGACCACAGATGCCCACAGAAGCGCTAATCATAGAGTCAGGGCCAACAGTGTCATGTGACAAGTGTTCTGTTCTTATAAGAAGGCGTGTCGGGCGGGGGGAGCATTCTTCCCTGGCAGTCTCTCTGAGACCTTGGTGGTCTGTCCAGTAATAAGATCTCCAGCCTCATGCCCTCAGCAGTGGTAAAGGAGAAAGCAGAAGAGATTCTGCTTGGCCTCTGTGCCCTTTCCCAAATGTTGGATAGGCAGTTTCACAAAGCCAGGCGCTGGGTTTTAGCAAGCTCGCCAGTGATTTTAGGAATGAGTCAGAGTTGGTATGTAACGAGAAATAATAATCACTAATACTTCTTGAATCCTTATAGGATGTGTGATTGCAGGAGAGCCATGAGCCTCATTAAGGAAGCCACAGAACCATAAATTCCTTAAAGCAGGCAACTGGCCCTAAATTGGCAAGCTGACCTTGCTCAAGCCTTATCAACTGGTCACTCCCAGGACTGAAGGAGACTGTGAAGCCAGCCTGTCTTTAGTGCCCTAGATAGCTCGCCTGCCCTGCCTGAGAAAATAATCTTGGGAGGAAGACCTCAATCACCCAAGGACACCAGACCTTGGCACTGAGTAAACTCCTCCAAGTGTTTTCAGTAGAATCTCTAAATAAGCCCAACCCTTCATTAGTTGCAGATGCTTTCTTCCCTTGGAAGTTTCTCCCTTCACTGTGATACCTGAACAAAGGACACATTCCTTGCAGGTCTAGCTCTGGCTCTTAGATCTAAACTCTAAACTCCATCGTTTTCTGTTCTCCTAAATCTAACCAGTCTTTAACCAGGCGTTCAGCTCTAGCATGAACACTTTACATGGACCAACTCAGTTAATTCTCACCACAGCTTAGGATGTCAAGACCTTCCTTGTCTCCACTTTACAGATAAACAAATGGAAGCCCAAAGATTATATATAGGCAGCTAGTGAGGCTGTCAGGAGGAAACCTCTAGATCCAGCCACACAACCCCAAGCTGATACCACACCCAGAAATGTAGCTACACCCCTGGGGTCTGTTGGTACCTATCACTGAACCAGTGAGGGCTAAAAAGGAAGGAGGCTCTTCGATAATCCAGTCTCAGAGCACCAAGCTCCTGACCGGTAATCTTACGGGGCTCCAGCTGTGCCCTACGGCTCCTGGCTATCTGGCAGAACGTCCTTACCAGTCGCCCCAGCTCTGTCTCCTCGCTCTCCTTTCTCTCCTTTTGGGCCTCGGTCACCTGAAACAGGAAAAAAAAGTGGCATTAGGGATGAAAACAAATCTTATTTGTTAATAATATGTTATCTGCAAACTTGCTAACCCACAGAAGCCCTCAGGCAGCAGCCAGTAGCAACCAGAGGGCACAGTAGGGAAAATAATGACATCTTCTCTGGTTACCCTGGGAAAGAGGAGGGGTCTAAATGAGAAAGTCCCATGAAAGTGTAGCAGAGCTCATCTATCAGTGAGCAGGAAGCAAAGGCTTACTGTTTTAGAAATTCACGTCCAAGTCCATCCCAATAAGGAGAGAGGAGGGGGCTGAGCTCCAGCTCTATATGGGACGGGGTATACGTCAAGACGATTTTTCTGATTGGAGAGACTCTAAAACGTGAGACAGAGTTTCCAAAGAATTACGGAATTTCTTTCCCATGGTTAAGTTAAAAGAACAGAGCTCTTTTCCTAGTTGGCATTTCACCCTACAAAGGAGTGGAAATTCCTGGCACCACTCAACGGGAAATAAAAGGCTAGGGAATTCTGTTCCAAGGTTTTCCAGAAAGATATCTGCAAATCAAAAGCTCAGTGCATACTGTTGATGAAGAAGAAAACAAGTCGGAGTGTTCTAGGGAGGAGTCTCTAGTGTGACCCAAAGTTTGAGTAAACCAAGATAACCACATTCGTAGATGAATATGCTAGAAAAATATCTGGCAGAATGAACTGTAAGGAGTTCACAGTGGCTACTTTATTTATTTGTTTATTTATTTATTTTTAGCTTGTGTGTATGAGTGTTTTTGTTGAATGTATGTATGTAGGCATCGGATCCCTTGGAACTGGAGTTATAGACAGTTGTCAGTTGCCGTGTAAGTGCTGGGAACTGAACCCGGGTCTTGTGCAAGAGCCACCAGTGCTCTTAACCGCTGAGCCATCTCTAACTCCTCACAGCACTTATTCTAAAAAGTAAGAGCTAAAGAGACCAAAAAAAAAAAAGAAATTTCCTCTTTACTTCCCCTTTGTACACGTCTGTATTGTCTAGTTGTGTTTCAACAAGCATGTACTATCGTTAGAACCCTTTAAAGGTAAAATGTTTTCAAATTAGGATCACGAAAGAAAGGAAAGCCAGAGTCTGCTTTGTCACCAACCAAAGAGAAGAATAAGATTTCCCAGTGATCCAAGATCAGAAGACCATCTCAGGCATAGGGTGGGAATGATTAGCGGTACTTTTTCTGGGTTGTCATGGTAACAAGTGAAGAGTAGGCAGTCTGGGCAAAGAGCATCAGATGCCCTTGTCTTCGCTAGTAATGACAGGTGGTCTGACAATATCGAATAGAAAGGGAATCATAGGGATGGACGAACTCTGAAGTGGGTTGCTTAAAAATGAAACAAAAATCTTCAAAGGACAATCCATAGAGAGAGGAAAAGATAGAAGAAACATTGCTGGCAGTGACACACACACACACACACACACACACACACACACACACACACACACACACACACACACACACACACACACACACACACACACACACACGCTTCCACTCCTCATGATGACTCTGTGGAATACAGCAACACAATGATTTCTAGTTTTCAGATGAAAACTCAACATTAATGAGATGAAGACATTTGTCCGATGTAGCTCAGCTGGGTGGCAGAGAGCAGATGTGGCCCCTGGCTCACCCACTCCAGGGTCCCTTTGCTGCTCAGGAAATGGTGGTAGGTGGGGATCCAGGATGAACCTAACTTCATTATTACCTTTGAACCCACGCATGCCCATTGGGCCTGTGGCCCCCAGCTTTCCATCATCACCCTTGGGGCCAGGAAGTCCTGGGGTACCTCTCTCTCCTGGCAAACCTGGGGAGAGAAGAGACAAGGGTAGGGTTGCAGACTCAGAAATGAAAGATCCCTTAGAGGCAGTTGTCTGAGTTAATGATCAACGTCACCATGTATCTTCCATAGCCTCTGCTGTAAAAGTAGTATAGGGTAGGTCAGCACAAACCTCCCAACATGCACCTCACTCAGACTCAGACCCTTCCACCTCTGAAAGGCCCAGTACTATTGTGAGTGATGGTGATGATGCCAAACCCATTTAGCTATTTTTACCCCTTTAGAATCCACAAACTTTTACAGTATTTTCTATGTGCCAGGCATAATCTCATTTAAACCTCACAACAAACACTGAGGCATTATTTCACCTGCACTACAAACCAGGATGCTAGGGTTCACCAAGGTTAAGTTACCTGCCAAAGGGCACAGAGTGAAGAGTGTTGGAGGCAGGATCTGAGCCTTGTTCCTTCTTAACTGAAAGTTCCTGGATGATCATCATTGTGTCATACTGGGGCAAAGGGGCTCAGTGGTCCTAGGGGAGGGGATGCCGTGGGGATGGAGTCAATGACTGGAAAAAGGATGAACTAGTGCCTCATGCTAATTAAAGAAAGGACAAAAATCCTTCCTTACAATAAACACAAGAGGTGAAGCAAAGGGCCGGAGTTTGAGGAGAATGAAGACATCAACAAGGCAATCAATGGACTCACAGCCTCATCAGGCCCCGGGCTCCAAGTTCTTGGCCACCGGGTCTCATGGCCACAGATTACACTAATTGTACCATGGAGAGCCAGAATCAACAAACACTTTTACCAAATGAGAGCCCAAGGTCCCCAGAGACCTGACTTAAGTCCAGTCATCGCTGCAGATCAGAGCTCTCTTAATCAATTGCCCAATTCTTTTTTGCCTGGAGAGCTGGTTTTCTTTGTGAGGGTTGGTTTTTCCCCCACCATACGAGAAACCTGTCTCCCAGTTCTTATCCCAAGGCTAATATCGAATGGCTGAGAGAGGACAGAGGCCTCCAGAGAGGGTGTGTCAGAGAAGCTGCTGAAAGGCCCTTTTCTCCCTTCTTGACATGATGTATCTGTTCCCAGAGTCCAAGGGTCCTGTGGCCAGTGCATTCTGAGCCTAATGCAAGATGTGCCCAAAGCTCCCCACCCTATGATTCATTAGGCAAAAAAAGTGGTTCCACATCTCTGAGAGCCCTGGGGCATCTTCAGCTCTGAGAAACACAGGCCAGAATGGACGTCAGATCAGGCTTGCGTTCTCCCCCTCCAGACCCTGTCCCCCCAACCCTTGTTGGTCACATCCCTGGAGATTTAGTGGGAATAATTCTTAAAATAAATAACTGGGACCCACACCCCCACACCATGTTTCCTCTCCTTGTGTCACTCTGAAGTCTCTATACCCACTTGGAAGAATGTGGCATGCTGCACAGGCTCCAGAATGCAGACTCAGATGTGACATTTGATAAGAGTCACTAAAAGGGAACTTCTGAGGTGATGAGTCTAAGAACACAGTCTTTGTAGAAGGCCCTAAAGTGCCCTCCCCATTAGCCATTGGGTCTGCAAAACTGTGGCCTGTGCATCAGGAGGTGAGGTAGGGAAGGAGGTGTCAGGCTCCTAGGGTCCTAGAACACCTCCACCTGAAGGTTCTGGCCTTGCAGGCCTGTGGGGGGGAGTGGCTGGAAGGAGTCCTGGGACTCTCCCACAGCTTTTGCTTCAGCTCCTGGAGAAGCATTTGTTCCATCCTATTGTTAGGCTGACAATCTCTTAGCCACCTGTTGGAAGAGCCCTAGAAACCCAGTAGATGGGCCCCCTTCCAGGGAGCTCATTAACTCCCCCAGGAAGAAACAGGAATGGACTTGATGTTCTCCCCCAGCTTCATCCCAGGTACCCCATTACCTCGAAGTCCAGGGAGTCCAGCGATGCCTGGCTTGCCCTCCTTCCCTTCATTTCCCTGATCACCTTTGGGTCCTGGTGGCCCTGAAAAGTGAAAACAGCACCAAGGTTAGAGGGTAGAAGACCAGGTGACCTGTGGAGGAAGCAACAAGTTCCTCTGTGATGAAAGGAAGGGCCAGCATTCTGCTTTGGAAGCACCGAGGATGCCAGCTAGTCCTGGGGGACACCAGGAAGGTTCCAAGAAATAGCAAGAAGAAACGGGGCTAGTTACATAAAGAGAGATGGAGGGTGTTCACAGCTGAATATTTGTGTCCCTCCCAAATTCATTTTGAAGTTCTTACCCCAAAAGTTACAGTTTGGGGAGGTGGGGCCAGTGGGAGGAGATTGGGTTGAGGTGACATCATGAGGGTGGGGCCCTCCTCAGTGGGATTAGTGGCTTTATAAAATGAGATAGGCCAAGTGTGATGGAGTACATCCATAGCCCCAGCACTCACTCAGGAGGCAGGGAGAAGAGGGTGGTGAGTTCAAGGCCAGCCTGGGCTATATAATAAGACCCTATCTCCTATCTGGGTATGGAGAAGAAACAGAAAGAAATGAGAGAGAGAGAGAGAGAGAGAGAGAGAGAGAGAGAGAGAGAGAGAGAGAAACTCTCCCTCTTTCCCTAAATTACCACTTGCTCCCTCCCGCCCTGTCTCCTGCCTTCCATCTTTCTCTGCCAGACCAGAATACAATGACCAAGTGTCTGTCTACAAACCAGGAGAGTAAGCCTTCACTTGAACCCAGTCATGCTGGTAATGCGGACTTCCAGTCTCCAGAACTGGGAAGGAAGAAATGCCTGTGGTTCACACCCCTAGTCTGAGAATTTAGTTATGGTGGCCAGGGCTGACAAAGGGCTGAGCAAAAAGGGACATTTGTCTGTGGAAGGAACAATTGCTACAGGGACTTAAAGAGAAGACAGGGCTGTGTAAGCCATGGGGAAGCAAGCAGCGGGGGCTCTGTGGCCTGGGAAAGTGGATCTTGGAGGCCTAGGTGCTGGAGTTGACCCAGATGGAGGGCACCAGAAGTCTTGAGAAGGGCCTGAGAGAGGGGAAGAGAGGAAGTGGGCTGTGGTGTGGAAGTGGGGTGGAGGGAGGCCAGAAGGAGGCCAGAGGAGTGAGGGTAGAGACTATGGTCTGTCCAGGTGGGACGCCCTGGGTTAGGGAAGTGTCCATCAGAGACACATGGAATGGCCAGAGTACTTAGAAAGTGGGACAGCTCTTGGCTCTTACTGGGAAAGTCAGGGAGGAGGCTAGGCTAAGCTCAGATTTCTGGCTGGGCACCTGGGTAGAGGATGAGTTTCTAATTGCTCCTGAGTGGGGCTGCCTTCCAAGCAGTGTGGCAGGGATTCAAGGGTACGTGACTGAATTCAGTCCCCATAGCTGTGCCGTGTGTTGAAGTTACTTGTCTGAGGCCACACAGGCAGTCAGTGGGTGAAGGAGCCATGGTTTCAATCCAGGTCTGCCTGGTACCCGTTCTTTCTGCCACACCCACGGGGCCAGACTTCTCACCCCTCCTACCTTCCTGCCACGCAGGCACCTGCTGTTCCCAGGCTGGCAAAGGCCAGGGGCCCTCCCTGTCTTATGACTGCCATTCCAGGGATGCTTCTGGTCACCTTGCTGGTGACTTTCCCATGGTTCCTGCTGGCATGGGCACAATCCCTGTGGCCAAGCAAACCTGGGGCCCTTTGACACAGACCTCACACAGTCTTGTCCTGTAGTCACAGCAATTGTGTTCTCTCTTTGCCAACTAGGAATCCCGCACCCCCACCACAGAACTGCTTCTTATACATCTCTGACCCTGTTGTAGAGACTCAGGATCCAAAAACTCACCTTCTGCTCAGTTGGGGACCAAGAAAAATGACTCAATCCTATTTTACTGGCTTGAAGAGTGATCAAGTTATGTAACCCCCAAAACCTTCATCTTTCTTAGGAAATAGTATCTCTGTAGATGTAGTTAGTTAAGGTGATGTCATACTAGAGCAGGATGGGCCCTAATCTAGTGACTGGTGTCCTATACAGAGACAGAGACATAAGAAAATACCTCAGGAGGCTGGAGAGATGGCCCAGTGGTTAGGAGTACTAGTTGCTCTTACAGAAGACCTGGCTTCAATTCCTAGTACCCACATGGTGGTTAACAACAGTCCATGGCTCCAGTTCCAGGGGAATCTGATGCTTTTCTAACCTCTGGGGGCATTTCAGAATGACACAGGTATACTTAACATACACACAGGCAATACAGTCATACACAAAAGAGTGAAAAAAGAAAAACGTGTTGGGATATCAGAGGCAGAGACTGGAGGGAAGCACCTACAAGTCAGGAACACCAAAGGTGGCCCAAGCCACCAGAGTTCAGAAGAGTTAGGAAGGGACCATCCCTCCCTCTGAGCTTCAGAGACACTCCACCCCATGGATACCTTGGTTGAAGACTTGTGTGCTGGATAGCATTAGTGTCAACTTGACACACCTGGGTTGACGGAGCCTCAGTTGGGGAATTTCCTCTATTGGACTGGCCTGTAGCCATGTCTGAGGGGCATCTTTTTGATGAGTGATGTGGGAGGGCCCAGCCCACTGTGGGTGGTGCCACCCCTGGGCAGGTGGGCCTGTGTTGCATAAGAAAACAGGCTGAGCAGGGGCCAGAGGAGCAAGCCAGTAAGCAGCGTTCCTCCATGGCCTGTGCTTCAGCTCCTGCTTCCAGGTTCCTGCCCTGAGTTCCTACCTTGGGCTCCCTGATGAACTGCGACCTGGGAGTTGTAAGCTGAATAAACCCTTTTCTCCCCAAGTTGGTATTGGTCAGAGTGCTTTGTCACAGCAATGAAGAAACAAACCAGGACAACTTGCAACCTCCAGAAAATAGACCTCTGTTATTTTTAGCCCCAGTGTGTGGTGCTGTGTTCCAGTCACCCTAGGAAATCAAAACATGCAGGCTCACAGCACAGCAGAGTCTTGCACAATCAATATTTGACAACTGAATGAATATATGAGATCACCGGGTGTTAATACACACAAAACAACCCGACGGCCAAGATCGAGATGTACTGATACATTCCAAAAGTTGGCACTGTCCTCAGACCCTAACCAGAGCTGACAGCTAGTTAATAACTCAATGGCACAAGAACAGGGGGAAAGTAATCAAAGTTTTTAAAATTCATGAGTTACATAAAGTATTTAAGGGGAGCTGAGGTTTGTAGCCATCATCTTAGTTTTGATCCCAGTTGTCAGATCACAGAATTGAGATGCAAAACCTGTTTTGCACAAGATCACATAGCCGACACAAAGTCAGAGATAAGTTGCAAATGAGTTCCACACCCCCATCTAGCAGTCTCCCTCCAGGTCAAACTCAGCAGTAAAGGAAGTCTAGAGGGGCCTGTGGATCTTCTGCGAAGCTCCATCTCATACACATCGCCCACTTTCACTCTTCTCCACCCCTTCATTTCTCCCCACCAGGGGGCCCAGGCTCTAGGAACTAAACCTATGGCCAGGCTCCTCACACTGTACTGGCCTGAAGTTGGGATTCTGAGATCGACTTGTGGGCAGCAGATGTGGGTATCATCACAGTTGCAGTACTCACATAAGCCTTTTGACTTCTCGCTTTTCACACTGTCTCATGTCTTATTTTTGCATTTGCCAGGGTAGGTCACAGTGTGGAAGGGTCTGGGACGAGGAGGAACAGAGTCCTGGGGTCCCCTCACAGGGACTGCCACCACCTGAGCCCACACGGATCGCAGTGCAGCCCTGCCCCTGCCCAGCTGCCAGGAGGACTGGTAACTGGGCATTTGAGAGAAGCAACTCACACAGGGGGAGCTGTTCCTTCTCCCTTCTCAGATCCTGGAACAAGGGATGTGGTGAGGGAATCTGTATATGCTGGAATCCAGAAGCTGACCTGCTCAGAACAGAAGATCAGAACAGCTGCTGAGCCAGCTGAAGCCAGCATTACTATGACCCCGTTTCCCATTTCCTGAAGCTACAAGACCCTAGGTACCTCCTCCTTCTACAGAATGAGAGTCCTCTCATCCTCATTCAAAGCCAATTTCTCTGAGAAAAGGACTGGGTAGGGGCTATGAGCCCATTTCACAGCCAGGCTGTCCCTGTACCTCTTGGCCCTATTAGCCTGCCTAATAGGAGGGACAAGTGGAGGGATCCACTTGTTCATGTTCACAGCATATCCCACATCCACCTGCAGGCACAGGTGGATGGTGAGAGGACAGAGGGGCATAGCACCTACCCAGGACTTCTGCCCTGCACAAGTTGTCTCAATCCTTTGTAGAGCCAATGCGCTGTTTTACATGTGGTTCCATTCACAGAGATGGTCCACCCCTATAAACTGGAAGCCAGAGTCTCCTCATCAGACCTAGAATCTAGCCCCCAATCCATTGCAGCATCTGCTTCTGAGATGCACTGAGCCAGACTCCCTCCTCCGTCCACTAGAGGGTGTTTTCCCACAGACAAAAAGCAGCTGCCAGATAAATCTGCTTTGAAACTTGTTTTCATTCATCAAGAGATATATTTTCTACTTCTGGCTTGACATTTGACTTGGACAAGTCACTTCCCCTCTTGAGGCCTGTGGTTCTCCACAGTGGTACAGGAGGATTAGACTAGATGATTTCAGAGATCCATTCCCACTCCAAAGGGTTCTAGAAAACTTGTACTCTAGCTGTCTGTGTATGGCTGGGTAGCTTGCCTGGAGGCTGTGCTTCCTCTCCTGGCCTGCCTCTCCACTCCGATTTCCTTTCCACCTCCTGGGATTCTTCACTCTCTGGTAATCTAAGCTCTCTGTGCCTTTGAAGTCCACAGACTGATTTCAATAGGCCCGACTGATGCTGAAAAAGCCGAAGTGGAAGACAGAATGCCCTGTTTTGCACGTCCATGAAAGATGAACTGGTGTCAAAACTCAGAAAATGGGGGCTAGAGAGATGGCTCAGTGGTTAAGAGCACTGACTGCTCTTGCAGAGGACCTGGGTCCAATTCCCAGCACCCGCATGGTGGCTAACAACCATCTGTAACTCCAGTTCCAGGGGATCTGACACCTTCTTCTGACCTCCATGGGCATTGAACGACATGGGTGCACTTACACACATGCAGGCATATATACTCATACACACTAAAAAAAACCTCGGGCTGGAGAGATAGCTCAGCAGTTAAGAACACTGGCTGCTCTTGCACAGGACCTGGGTTTGGTTCCTAGCACCCGCATGGTGGCTAACAACCATCTGTAACTCCAGTTCCAGGGGATCTGACACCTTCTTCTGACCTCCATGGGCATTGAACGACATGGGTGCACTTACACACATGCAGGCATATATACTCATACACACTAAAAAAAACCTCGGAAAATAGCACACCCACCTAAGAGAATGAAAACCATTTGGGATGAGCCCAAGGATAATGTAAATGTGCTCATATTTGAAAAATGTACACACCAGCATTTGTGGATTCTGAGCCAGAAAAGAGCAAAGTATGTATATTTACATGTAAATTATACATGCAGGGTCTGTATATGTATGCATGAATGTATATACATGTGAGTTAAATATGCATGCATGTTTCTGTGTGCATACATATGTGTTTGTACTTGTGAGTTATGCATTCAGGTGTCTGTATATGTATTTTTGTGTGCAGGTGTGTATAGGCCTGTTTGCATATATGTGTACATGTATATTTAAAGACCTTAAGGAAAGGAATTAAATAGAATTAGAGCAGGAAGGCCACTCCACCTGCAGCATGGAAGTGCATGGAAGCTTATCTGGTCCCATGTCCAAAGCCAAGTTAGAGGTTTGCTTTGTTAAAACTGAAGGGCAAAAAGGACATCTTTTTAATAGTGACATCTGCTACCTGGCAACAGTGAGAGAAAATGAGAGAGAGAGAGAGAACCAGACAAAGGGACAAAGGGCAGGTACTGGAAGGGGCCCAGGGTGTTCAGCTTTGAAGAACCAGGAGCCTCAGGGCCATGGTCTCAATACTGTGTTTCCTCACCAGTTTCCTTTATTATTTTTATTTGATGTGTATGAGTGTATTGCCTACGTGTATGTAAGTGCACCTGTGTCCTGCAATGCCCAAGGAGGTCAGAAGAGGCAACAGATTCCCCTGGAACTGGAGTTATAAACAGTTGTCAGCCACCATGTGGGTGCTGGGAATCAAACTCAGGTCCTCTGCAAGAGCAACAAGTGCTCCTAACTACTGAGCCATCTCTCCAGCCCCTCCTCTCCAATCTCATATTGAAGTCACCACAGTGATGGCATCAGGTGGGGCCTTTGGGAGAAGATCAGGCCATGAGGAGGTACCCTCCTGAATGGTGTTAGTGCTCTCATGAAAAGGCCACAGAAAGTTGCTTTGCTCCTTCTATCATGGGGGGGACATAGCAAGAAGAGGCCACTGCTGCTTATAGCTGGGAGAGGGAGTCGGCGACTACAACCTGGGTTTCTGGGCCAGACCAACCCAGGCTTAGACCTTGGCTTTGCCACTTGCCGAGTACATAAGGAAGAGTGGGAATGTCATTCGGGTTCTTTATCTGTGAAATGGGGACAATAAGACCTTGTTGCAGGATGTGATGACTAGATGGCTTCTATCTGGAGAACGAAGGTCTGTAAATACCTGGCTCATGATAGGCCACGGGTCAGTGTAGTTGCTATCAATAGTAAGGGTCTGAACAGACTGCTGAGGGAACAGGAAAGCAAGAACAGCCAAAGATGGGGGAGATCTAAGGCTTCAGGGATATGGGAAGAAGAAATTCTATCACCTACTTTCCTTTGACTCCTGAAGTGTCAAAGCCCAAAGTGACCAGGCCTGGGCAGGAGAGCCTCTGACTGCCAACATTAAGACTGAGCCATTATTCCACAGTGCTTACTGGGTGCTAGTGGCAGGCCTGTACTGTTAGTGTTGGGGGACACAGAGGAGACCAGCAGACTGCAGGGAGTAGAATGAGAATTGGGTGTTGGGATTAGAAGTCCTGGTCTGGTCATTTAATTGCACACTTTCAAGGGGTGGATTTTATATCACTTATGTAAGTTTCAAGTAAATTATGCCTCTTTCAACAATAAGTTCAGAGTGGGATTATTATCAGTCACGTGACCCTGGGTCAGCAGGTAGTTTTTCCTGAGTCTCAGTTGTTTTCTGCCCTCAATCCTACCCCTCCCTTGATAGGGACACCTGCCTTAAAGCAAGCATATGGAGGGCTCACTTTAAAACAGAGCCATGCACACAAGAATGTCCTGGAAATGCAAAGGATTGTCAGATGGACTCCAGGGTGACGACAGCGCCCTGTGGTCACTTCAGAAGTTCAAGGGAGGAAGAGCTTCAGTGTGATGGGGAGAGGAGACAGGGCTGGGGTGTGGGGGGTGGTGGTGAACTCAATAGATGCAAATGGTTCTGTCTGTCCCTGTGTGGGAGTGGAGGACAGGCAGGTCCAAAGGGAATGTTCCAGAAAGCACACCAGTTGTCACAATAGCATGGCTTCAAACAGGCTGAATCCAAATCTGGCTCACCCCACCTCACCCTGTGACCTGGGCAAGTTGTCTGAGCTTCCAGGATTTCAGTGTCTGTGGCAATGCCACTTCCCCAGAGAGTTGCTGCCCCTGAGAGATGCTATGTGATAGACACTGGAAGCACCCACGTGTAGCAGGTATACTAATGGCGTCTTTAGGGCTGACAGTAGCGCTAGGCAAGGTTTCCATGAATTCTGCAGCCCTGACAAGGAGACAGAGTGGTTTGCCAGAGGAGAGGGAAGCTGAGTTTCTAGGCTAACAGTTGTTGGGCCATAGCAAGAGCATAGTTGGGTGTCCAGACATTTTTTTTTTCCATTTCATTCATTGATTGATCCATTCATTCATTTGTAGACAAGGTTTCCTTATATAGTCCAGGCTGGCCTCCAACTGTTAATCCTCTGCCTCTGCAGTGCTGGGATTACAGACATGTGCCACCACATGTATGTAAAACAAACAAATTGTTAAATGAAATATATTCTTCTACCTAGATAAAGACATCTTCCTAGCAGCCTAGAGGGCCAGGTTCAGCTTTGGAATTCTCTACTTCCCACAGCTCCACCCATCAGAACCCAGAGGCCAGAGGAGCCTTCTGCCCAGTACCTGAGCCCACAGCAGGACCCTCTGGTGTCTCAGCCCCAAGCTTTTGGAGGCCGCAGCAAGCACACCAAGCTCTGACTACCTTACCCCTCATCAGTCACCTTGGTCACTTTCCTGTCTAGGGGTGCGGACACAATCCATTCTCTGTGCTAGGGAGGCTTACCCAGAAGCAAAATGTGCATAGTTCATTTGGCAGAAAATTCCAGAGTCATATAAAGCATTAAGACTTGAAAGAGAAGGTGTGGGTTTGAACCGATGCCCTTCAGAAAGGTTGTGTTGGAAGGAAGTAGCAGGAAGGGCAAGCAAAGGAGGTACTATGGCCCGGGCTTGGCCGGGCTGGGGCACTCAGTACCTTTGGCCAGGGAAATGTTCCTTAGGGCGATGGAGTGCTCCCAGTCCTTGAGGCGCAGGTCCTCGGTCACCACATTGAGTGTGGCTAGCTCCTGTTTGAGCTGTAGCTCCATGTCCATGTGCACCAGCCTCATGCGGCGCGTGTCCTCACTGGCATTGCTCACTAGCACCTGCAGGTCCTGTAGGCGCGTGCTCTGGAGAGCCACGTCGTAGGACAGGCTGTGGTTGAGGCCGCGCAGTGCACCGCCCACATCGGCCAGCTCCTCGCCCAGGACGCCGACCCTGCGCGCCAGCCCATCCAGCAGGCCCGCGTGGCGCTGCAGCAGCAACTGGCTGCGGTTGCTCTGCACCTGCAGCTGGTAGAGTTCCAGCTGTGCCGAGTCGCTCTGCTGTCCGGTGCGGTCACGCAGCAGGGCCATCGCCTGCTCGGTTTGGGCCGCCTGCGCATGCAGTCCCCACAGCGTGCCCTCCAGCCGCTGCACCAAACCCGCCAGGGCCAGCAGCGAGTCCGACTGGTTCTGCAGCGCATCCTGAACTTTCCACACCTGTTCTGTGAAGTCCGCCTGCAGCGGAGCCTGCAGCAGCCGCAACTGCAGGTCCCGGAAGCTCTCATTCAGCTGGTTCACATTTCGAGTCAGCGCCTTCAGGTCATCTGGGGAGCTACGAGGCCTGGACACTGTGGAGAAGCGAGAGATGAGCAGGGGTTGGGCAGGGAAGTCCAGGTAACGACAGACAAGTATGCAGTTGGTGCTCAATAAAAGGTTAATGAAAGGAGGAAAATACTAACACTGGGTGTCTCCGTAAATCCCAGGCACTGGGCAGAGGTCAGTGGTCCCCCAACCTGTCTCTACAATAGAATCACCTCCACAAATTGATTAAACTGGTCCTTTGTGTGACCTGGGCTTTGGAACTTAAAAAACAAAACAAAACTCCCAGTAACTAACGTGCAGGCAAGTTTGTGCACTGCTGCACCAATTGACCCATGGTGTGTTAGAGTCATCCATATGGAACCATTTTTTTCCCATTGAAAAAATTATTGGTATGGGTCCTTTGGGGAGTGGCTCAACTTACATTGATTGTTCCCCTCCAAAGCTCAGGTAACACTATGGAAGAGAATGTAAGTTCAGGAGGAAGGGTTGGAGTTTCATACAGCCCTGACTCTGAGACATGACCTGGCCTTTGCAGTCATGAATTCAAAGTAGCTATAATTACTTTATATTTATAATTACAATCTTACTTATTGTTTGATTGATTGGTCTCAAGGTTGGGCCTGTCAAATTCTGTCATGGAGGGGGGGGCTCATGAGGCTCCACCCCTCCCTGAGTATCTACTGATAGGCAATGGCTTCTTGGAGAGGGATAAACATTTTGTTCAGCCGCTGGTAAGTTTCCTGTGCGCCTGTAAATAACCCTTCACCAATGCTCCTATAAGCAACTCTAAATTCAGTGACTCACATGCACACACACAGACACAGACACACAGACACACACACACACACACACACACACACACACACACAAAACAAAACAAAACAAAACAAAAAACACACAGGACACTGAGGTCCTGTGGTTACCTCAACTTCAGAAAGTAAGTACTGACAATGGTCTGAATGTACCTTCTTCCCATTCATCTGTGAGAATTTAATGACCTAATTGCCAGTGGTAATATTAACAGGTGGGGACTTTTGGAGGTGATTAGGTCATGTGGGCAGAACCCCCAGAAATGAGATTATGATCTTGTGAAAAAAGTCTGGAGGTGCTGTCCATCCTTACTTCCATTGGAGGACACGTAAGAGGTATCGTTGGTAAGAAGCAAGCCCTCATCAAGCACGAACTGCTGGGACCCTGATCTGGAACTTCCAGTCTCCGGAACTGTGAGCAACGCATTTCTGTTCTTCACAAAATATTCAGTCTAAGGTATTTTGTTATAGTGACCCTAACAACAGTATAACCTCCTTCTATTTAAGTGGCTCAGGGCAACACAGCAAATCCTAACCCAGTGGGCTATCCCAGAATTGGACCATTCTCCACACCTTTCCTAGAGCTGCTTAAAGTAATACTGTCTTGGCAATAGATACAGCCAGGGTACAGGCTACAGTGTTTATTTTATACCCTCCTAAGTTCAAGGTCCCATCTCCTCCTACTATAGCAAGAGTCATTCTGGGCAGGGGAGGTATTTGCGATTATTCCCTCCAGTCTCTGTAGCCTCCCACCTGTCTAGGTCTCCTTATTTTCCTCCCCAGCAAACAAGCCACCCCAGTCCCTCCTCACTTTCCTCTTGCAGAGGTTTCCTTTCCCTGGTTATAAACAATCCTAAAAGGAGAAGCCTTCATTAGTAGATTCTAGCATCCTGAGAGCTAGTGAGCTGTACCACTGGGGGTGGGGGGTGTCTAGGGACACTGGTTCCCTCCTCTGCTCTGTATACTAGGAGATGGAAGTCAGTAGCTGGGGTGGAATTGGAACAATTAGGAGGGAGGAGATGAGGCTCAGAGGCAATTCTGCTTTGGATATCTTGAAACCCAGAGAACTAGGGAGTTAGTACAAAGCCTTATCAAACTATGAGAAAATTAACAGAATAGTTTCTCTTCCAGGGCCCCATGTTCAGAAGTATAATAAAGGGACAAGAGGGACAGATGGGGGGGGCAGGAGGGACAGATGGGATACTTTTATATTCTGTGTTGTAAAGACACATTTGTACTCCATGTTATATAAAGGAATCAGCACATACATGCTATTACTCACAGCATATGCACACTGTTAATGGTTTATTTGTTCTGAGCAAACCTTCCCAGCATTCCAGATGCCCTTAGAGAGCACAAAGGTGACAGCAGCACAAATTACCTTGACTCAGCATTTCAAGAGGTGCCGGAGCCCAAATATCCACAGAATGAGGGAAAAGATCAAGGAATGGTAACCAGAGAAGCCCAGATGTCACAGCTTTGGAAATGTGATTAACCACCTGACCAGAGTGGGAGACAGGGCTCTGGAATCACTGATTGGTTCTGCCCTGCCCCCTATGTAATCTGCTGGTTGGAGAAGAGAGGGGAGACAGATTTTCAGGATGTGAATTCACTGCCTTCTCAGATTGACAGCTCTGTGAATAAAGCACTAAAAAAATTTTTTGGTTTATTTTATGTGTACAAGTGTTTGCCTGCATGTATGTAAATACATCCATGTCATGCAATGATCACAGATGCCAGAAGAGGGCATTGGATCCCCTGGAACTTGAGTTAATGATGGTTGTTAGCTACCATGTGGGTATTGGGAACTGAACTGGAGTCTACTGGAAGAGCAGTAAGTGCTCTTTATAGCTGAGCCATCTCTCCAGCCCCAAATAAAGCAATTTTAAGATTTGGTTGCTCTCTGCTTTTGCAGTGACAAGTGTCATGAACTGAATTCTGGTTTCAGAAGGGGAAAATGGGAAAACAGGTGGAGAGTTCTTAGGCCAAATGAAGACCTGCTGTGCTCCTTCAGTAACGCCTCTAGAAGCCCACAGCATTCACAGCAGCCACTTTGGAGGACATAAGTCACGTCAGATCAGGTTCAAAGGGGTTGGAACTGGACAGGGCCTCACAGCCCTGCTTCAACTTTTCCCCAGTGCTTTAACCCATGGAAGTCACAATTGTCACTTGGCCTCTGCTTACCAGCCTTCAGTTTCAGTTAGTTCTGATTGTTGGAACATTATGAATTCTGCTTGGCTTGGAATGGGCTGCCCATGTGAAAAGTAGAACCAGTAATTCACTCCACCGCACCCCCCAAAGGTAGCCCTTCAGAAATTCAAAAAAGCTTCTCATCGCCTTTATATGTAGGTTTTCTTCATGTTTAACACCTGCAGATCTCACATTCATTTTCTCAAGGCAAGGATGAGGCCCCAGGCAACCTGTCTGACTGACTTCTTCTGTATTTGTTCTAGTCCATCAAATTTTCCTTAAAGGCTGAGCAAAGGTGGCTTCCCAAGGTATAGACAGAGGGGATAGAGTATAGCAAAAGGATCATCTCTGTTGTTCTAGGCAGGAGACTTCTGGTGAGATGGCCCAAGCCAGGCCTGGTCAGCTCCATCTGGACTCTGTAGAGCTCAGATACTGGATGGGTCTCCACAGCCTCTGGGGAACTGGACGTTTCCTTCTACAGATGAAAAGACCGAGGCCAGGAGGGTGGGAGGGACTGGTCAATGCCATGCCGCCTGACTCTCGCTCCCATGGTCCACAACACGGCTCCCCTCTAGGAGGCGAACTAAAGAACTGTCCATACAAGAACAGCTTCTGTTAGGGAAAGAGGAATTTACTGCTTGAATTTACTGCTTGTCTGAATTTACTGCTTGAATTTACTTGTTTGAATTTACTTAAATGAAAACAGTCTCCTGGCCAGGATTGCTCCTAATGCAAAGGCAAAATTCCAAGCCTTTGATTCTTGTATTAGTTTCCTAGGATACTGCTGGGGATCCATCTGTATGTGTTCCAGTGTGATACCATCAGCTAAAGGGTGCTGCTAGGTCAAAGGTGACTTTCCAAGGGGTAGACATGTGGAGCAGAGCATCATGGAAGGATGAACGCCTTCATTCTGAGCAGGAGACTTCTGGTGAGATGGCCCAAGCCAGGCCTGGTCAGCTCCATCTGGACTCTGTAGAGCTCAGATACTGGATGGGTCTCCACAGCCTCTGGGGAACTGGATGTTTCCTTCTACAGATGAAAAGACCGAGGCCAGGAGGGTGGGAGGGACTGGTCAATGCCATGCCGCATGACTCTTGCTCCCATGGTCCACAACACTGCTCCCCTCTGGAAGGCAAACTAAAGAACTGTCCATACAAGAACAGCTTCCAGGGAAAATGATCCCATGACCAACCACAGCCAGGAATCCACAGGACTCTCTTCTGAAGAGACCACCACTGGCCAGTGTTTGAGTTAGTGCGCAGCCAGTGTGTCTGTCCAGGTCCCACCCACACAGGGTGAGATGCTGAGACAGGGCAGATGGAGAACAGAGAGCCCAACACTTTCCCATCAGTCTCTGCTCAGGACACCCCAGAGCTTAGGCACAGCAAGGCTCATTGGGGGTAGGAAGGACACCCTGAGGTGTGAACACTCTGCTTCTGGCACTCATTGGGAGTGACTCAGCAGAACAGAGCCAGCTCCTTGGTTGAAGTCACAGTTTAAGGTCCCATTTGCCCACAGGCCAGGCCATGAGGTTAGCAACTCTCTCCCCTCCCTCTCCTTCCCAGACCCTTTGTTCTTGTGTCCCTGGGCCATCTCCCTTCCTCAACACCTACTGGCTCTAGGCCTTTCCATCCAGGAAATGGGCCTGAGACTGTGTCCATAAAGGGACAGCTGGCAATCAGCCCCACATCCTTCTCAGAGAGTCCCTGTGGGTCCTTCATCATTGCACAATCAATCTGAACATAAATCCAAAGAAAAGAAGATCCCTCCCTAAGCACACACCCTCCGGCTAGTCAAAGCACTGTTTTCCTTCCTCTTTCTTCCTCCAGCTCCATCATTTGCATACCCGGGCTTCACAGTGTCACTCCTGGGGAGCTGTTCCACCTAATACTGTTAGTATAATTATTTCACAAGAACATTCCCATCCTTCTCTTGGTCTTTTATAACTATAATTTTTAATGATGGAGAAGAGGGCCCTGAGGAAAAAAACAAACTTTTTTCTCTGTTTTTGGTCAAACACTGATGCA